AAGACCGGAGTAATTTGCATAGAAAGTCGACACGTGTGAAATATGGAGCATGACTGACAGTCCTATAATAGTAAAAATGAKGCCAAGTTGRAGCCCAAACATCCGTAAKACATTACCTTTTAATGAAATCTGTGCCACTGCTGATGTCCTTCCYGAGTAACTCCGACCCTCAACGCTTACCCATAATCCCTCAGTGACGCTTTTAATCACCAGGCTCTTCGCATTTGAGCTGAGTTCAAAKCGTGTGTTRTRCGGTAGTATGTCGGTCTTTATTGCAGTGCGACTRGTACCGTATTTCCATTGAATTGTATCGTCAAGAATCGGAAAATGTCCTTTGATTGTAGCAGTTATTTTCCCGTTTCCTTTCAGACAYACTTTAAGTACWGARGGATTCAAGGAGAACTTTGTTGGTTGTTTTACATCTATTTCAAAGTTAACCTTGTAAGCTGCTTGGTCGATTTTTGGATCAGCMTCAGCGAACTTGTATTCCATGAAATATTTGCCTTGGATGATAAAATGTAAAGCATGTAATTGGTAAAGGAAATTGGAAAATGTAAAATCGGACATATACGTAGTTGAACAAAGTGTAGAACGATCAGTCAGACACCCTACCACTACTTACAACAGTTACAATAATGGCRGAGAGGGTGGAATCTTTGACCAACCCCTCCCCTCCTGGAGTGATCTATTTTACCTGAATATTGTTTCTTGATGTTCTTGATGACCAACTCACTCATTTTGTCAGGTGGTCGTCTCACAATCAGTGAAAAAGAACCAAGATAGTTGGACACGGCGTAATCTCGACTTCCTAGTTTCAGYCCTTCAGTGAGATGAATACCAAAGGCTGCAAACTTAACTCTTTCCTCTTTTCTACCCGCGACCAGTTCAATTTTGATTCCCTTGAAATTAGATTCTACAAAGAAAGGCTTTCCATACGTATTGAAAAACAGAAACCAAACCTGCCTGACTGTGCATTGACGGAACTTACAACTCGCTAATTCTAAATTCTTATCAGGGACTTTTTTGATCTTAGATGCATCRGCACCAGGCTTGGCTACATAGCAATGAGGGGTTGTCTTGGTAACRRCATGAGGCTTGTCCATGGATTTGGTTTGGATGCTTATGGACGTCCTACAAACATTGTCCTCCCATCCTATCCCTTGTAGACACAACACAGGGTTCCCTTGGGATTTCTTAGTCGTTTTTATGCTTCTCCCGAGGTATTCTGGGAATTTCTTCTTAGGGTAGAGCTTAAAGGTTCCRTCACCGTTTCCATAGATACAGGAGGAGCATTCCCTGACGTTGCAGTAGTGGATCTTGTAAGGTTTCTCGTCAGGGTTGTCGTCWGRGWAACACCAAGGTTGAGWCAAGATGTTCTGTCGACAGGATCCAGTCTTCTTTTTTTTAAGATAGCATGAAGGGTTAACGGCTACGTTCCTACAGTAGTCATGGCCACCTATAATACAACACAACTTATTGAAATGACTGTAAACTTTATTTAGGAATGGTTTTAGATAATTGGGCTTTTTTTTCCGTTTTTCAAATGCGCGCGATGTAGAATTTTGTCTTCCTTCTCAGTTCTGTTATGTCTTTCGTTATTTCAATTCTATTATTTCATTTTTCGATGGAGTGTTTCAAATATCGCGATAAATCCATCCATCCTTTTCATTTTCCATTCAAAAATASCAATTCAATTTTTCCATCCTACCCATCTATCAATTCATCCATTTATCCATCCATTCATTTTATGAAACATTCATCCCTGCTCCATTACATTCATTATCAAAGACATTTGTTTATACCTTCATCAAAAATCTTCATCAACTTTGCAAACACGTGTGATTCATGGTGAATTCCTGTCGGCATATGCCAGTATTTACACTTGAGATGTTTAGCACGATTCACACTCCCACTGTACTCCAGTCCTTTGTYGTAGTAACAGTCAGTCTTGTAMGTCCATTGGTACCAAGTRCAGTTRGTTTCAAACGTTTTCCCACCAAAATCGCAAACACGTGGATCTGTAGGATAGCCTAATGGCGAGTGGAGCCTGGTTATAGCCCAGATAATCTGCATGTAGGGTTGTAGTCCGACTAWAGCCTCRCATGAAACAACCATTAAATCGTTTACAAGAGGAAATCCATCATCKCCGCCGATCTTGAGRTGGGACTGGGATTCAGGAATCTTTTYATCGCCTGAGCCCATGATGTATGATTCAGTAAATCCTTCTTTGGTYGCTTTATTGATGATCGTCCARCGRTATTTAGTRAAGCCWGGAACACCACAATCTAAAGTGCCGTTGTCAATGACACCAATGTATTCAACATGGCGAACRACTACAACTACTGAAGACCATTCAGAGCGYACGATRTCRACCTCCTTGTCCCATAGAAAACCACTTRCCGGCCAAACACATAGGACTAATGTACAAATAAACAACCCATTACGCATCGATGGACGCATCAAAGACAACACCGCTAATTACTCTCTACATGTTGATGATTAATCAAATTACCGTCATTATGACGTCAATTGCGCGCGGTTTACCCATAAGCCATTGCTCTAGATTTTAACGTCATCAATCACGTGGCAAGTGGTTTGAGCTTTAATTTTATGTTGAATTTATTTATTATTCTAAGTTAATATTCAAAAGACAAAATTGAAYATAATGAATTAATAACTTAGTGTACGCTGTCTTGTACAATGACAAAAGAACATAACCAGAAGTGGTTATGTACTTCTGACAATGAAAATGAACGATCCTTTTCTCGCATAAGGTACTTATATGTCTTACATATTTTCATTTGGGAACTATTGCTCTATTCTGTTTCATTATTCTGCATGATCGATCTTCGTGTCAACATAGTGTATGTACAGTTTGATGAATTAAGAAGTGTTGTTTTAAAGTCTTCCTAGTATGGATTTCATTTCAAGTAGAGCCTTTTGGTCTTCTTCTTCTTGACTGGTTTGAGATTCAACAGTTTTGTCGACAGTTAGGGTAGACACGATACCCTCRAGAAGAATGCGATGATCTTCAAGTTGCTTGGTTATTTCATTGATCCTAAGATGAAGAGAGTAAAGAGACGAAAAGAGAAAAGAAAGGAATGAATGAATGAGTGAAGAATATTAGGACGAAAACAGGACAGAAAGAAAGGGAAATGTCCAAATGAAGTTATGTCTGACGCAGCCAAATAAGCCTTAAATGAAAACAACAACAACAATAACAACAACAACAACAACAACAACAACAACAACAGGAACATGCGCCTGCTACTTTAGATGAATCAGCGCACACCTGACCACGAAAAATGTCATAGTGCTAAATTGATCAATTTAATCAATTAAATAATCGTTTCGTATACCTCTCTCCGGTGATATCCACTTGATTGACAATCCTGTTTATTAGTAAATCTCTGCGAGTGTTGTCCTTATCGACAGATTCGTTCCTCAGACGAACTATCTCTTGTACGGTTCCAATTTGTCCTAGATATTTCTACAAACCATTGAAAATTATATATATACAAATCTTTTTTTTTTTCGTATCCACAATTCTCACGCTTTCTCTTTATTTGAGTCATTGTTCAACTCCTTCAGAATCAGATTAATGCCCAATTTCATTCTCCATTCCATCTTTCTTTTCCAGCATAATTTTATTGGAGGGACTAAATCGGAACGGGACAACTTTCGAAAGGTGACAGATGAATTGGGCGAATGTTTTAAAAATGGCGGCCAACATATTGTTGGGATAACAAGTGTTTTTACATTACCTTTAACACCTTCAATCCATGTTGCTTGTTGGGATGAACAACAAGCTTGCTTTTGTGCAATCGTTCTCGAAGCATTACCGGCATTTTCTCTTCAAACTCGTAAACAACTTCAATCTAAAAAAAGAATATGCATTAATGAAGGAAGCCATCGTTCTAAGCTCTTTACGATCCCTTTCTCTTATCTCCGGTTCAGCTCCAATAATCATGATACATTTGCTAATTGTTTGTTGATCTAATTATTCACCTCTGTTGACATCATTTTAAGTTCAGCGTGGTTTTGCACAGAGTCGATATCGCCAACAGCCAGACCAATCTATAATCATAAAGTAATAAGTGTGGAGTTCCTGTGTAGTAGCACAGGTAACCCTGTAGTGTGTGTTTTACACTGGGTCATGAGCGTCACTCACCAGTAGATTCATTAGAGCGATAGGCATTAAGAGCGAGAAGACCAGGAACACGCCTAAAGCGAGTGTGTATCGTTTGGGACCATTCCCTTGCACAAAGTAAGTGGAATAATCAATTTCTCCAATTGTCATAGCAAAAACCTTGATCATCGCTCCCCAGTAGTTGTTAAAAGGAGGCTAAAAACACATTTGAAATAACAGACTTGTGAAAGCACAGACAGACAAACAGAAGAGGAGAAAGACAGAAAGCCAATAATGTAACACTTACACTTCCGTCCATTACGTAAACAAACACAAGTCCAAAACCAACTATCAAAAGAGAAAACATCGCCAACACCTTAAAACAAAATGTTAATAAATACCAAATAAATCCACATCATCTGAAACAAAGTTTGACAGACCTTAAGGAGAGACTTGAGGACTTCGAACAACATGGTTACGTAGATTCCAGCGCTAAGTAGACTAAAAACACAACAAAATTTAGCACAAAGATCCTTCATTTATTTTTTTACGCGCGCTTTTTCGTATATGTTTGTAAATTTTACGCGGGCACTTACGTTTACGTGCGCATGAGTTTCCTTTTGTTTCGTCGACGGCACTCTTTTATTTTATATAAATTTATGCATTTCAATTGTAAGTGATTTAATGTTCGAAGATTTTTTTGTATTAAGGGATTTGTTTCGTGCAGACGTCTAGAGTACTTATCATATTTGACAATTTTCCAATTCTATGACCAGTTTTGTTATGTTCTAGTTTCTATTCATACCATTGGATGTATTGTAGAATAGTAAGAAAGGATAATAGAACACCAATAACGCCTGCATTCCATCCTGCCATGCCACATATTTCCCTATCTCCGTTCACTGGGTACACAGCGATAATGGCACACACGTAGGTACTCACTTGGAGAACATTGGTCAGGTCAAAGTATTTAGAACGCTAAAATGAGAAGAATCACTCAGCCATGTGGGAAAGAATCGGAAATTGTATATGAGCATGCGCAATGTCTGGGTTAACACAGGGGGCCCATGATAGGGACAAATTGTTTAGGATTAAGAGAAAACAAGGCAAATTTGTTAACGTACCTCAGTGTAGAGCTGATAGCATTCATATAGAAGGTTTAATGCTGAGAAAGAGACCAGAACAATTTCGCTAATGTAGATCGAATCCTTGCTGCAATGCTAAAACAAAAATTGTCGTTCTCAGTACCTTTCGCGCGCAGTTTACCACAGGGCTCCCATTCAATATATTTCACTTACTGTTTTTACAATAACACCGGTTGCTTTATTCATGTCAAATTTGTGCATACAATACATGTAATGCGAAAGACACCCCACAAACATCGAGTAGATCACAAAACCAATATAGAAGAAATTTACGCCAACACTTCGCCTTTAATAGAAAAAGACTATTAGAAATTGCCTCGCTTTATGGAATACAATAATTTTCAACTAGCTCTGCACTAATAAACACTGGCGCAGCAAACGATCGGTTTACTTAATGAGCTTTTCTACTCTACCATTTAGTTGCCATGAGTGATTTGGTCAGAGGATGACGCAATAAATCTTCCCGTTCATTTTCTAACATGAGCTAAAATAACAAATCAAGAAATATCCTGAGAATTTAAACATTGGCGAATAAAAAGTGCAATAAAATTATTCACAGCTTAACTACATTTGCAAATATATCAATGAACGTAGAAATATAGCTTGGGTTCCCTGTGCTAAGTATCTTCGATAGGAAGAATGATATACAAACCAAAAATAACGGAAACAAGGAGGAAAAGATGGTTTATTAGTCCTAAGATATATAGATTATAGATATGTGGATTTGTGTGGATTATAACTGAAGTATTTGTTTTACTGTATGGCAGTTGCTTGCTATTGTTTGCACTTGGCTTATTTGAAAAGCGTCAGACTTACGGACCTGACTCATTATCTTTAGAAAATTATTCATGCAAAGTTCGTCAACCAGCTGTGAATAGGATTCAATAAGCGTAAAACTGACGTCGTTGTTTGAGTTATGCTCTATCAAATTTAATAAAGATGAAATGTTTTTAACTAAGAAATATGCCATCGCATACAACGTGTATTTATGTCATAGAGTTCCATGGACGTCATATTGCTGCTTCAAGTCAGCAGAAAAACAAAAAAAAGATTCATTTTCCTTTCCAACTTATTACCATAAGCTAACATCATATAGGATGTGCAACATTATGCATAAACCATCACGATAAAAGTATTTTTTTCATTTTTGTTCAGAATTTACTTTAACTGTATAAAGTAAGTTGACGCGCGCTGCCACCATTACTTGGACTCCACGAGCGTTTAAACATTAATGCTTGCTTTTAAAATGGTCTGTAATCGTGAAAGTGAAGAACTGAGCATGTGTAATCAGGTGCTATTGTTCTATGAAGCAAAGATTTATTATTCAGAGAGAAGCGTCCCACAAGGCGAATCTGACAGTGAAATCATGGTATAAAAAAGAAGCGAAAACTGAATGGTCGTGCTACTTCGGTAGCACATATACTAAAATTGGAACGATACAGAGAAGATTAGCATGGCCCCTGCGCAAGGATGACACGCAAATTCGTGAAGCGTTCCAAATTTTTATTTTTTCACATTAACTCCAAAAGAAAAATCCGTTTTGAAGCGTTTTTCCGCGTTGAAATTATGCAAAATCGCCTAAATAAGTCCAACTTACTGAGCTTTGCCTCAAAATCATGCAATTTGTCTATCTTTGAAATATTCTGGCTTAAAATAACGAAGTTTTAAAGCTAGATTTATGAGATTTTCAAAAATAGACGAAAAGACGACTATACCAACGTTTTCGGCGTCAGCGAACTGCGGGTCAGCGGAATCCTTCATGAACCGCGTAATATCGATTGAATATTATTAGATCCCGACTGATGTATGAATGAATTCTATACAAAACTTAAAAAAAGGCAACTTACATAAATCAAAAGACAATTATTTTAAAATTATTTTCTGGTATTTCTAGCTGTATTTCAATAGGTTGGGTTCCCTGTGTCTACATATTGATTTCTCCTCAGTGAGGTTAGTGATTCTTTACAAACGTTTTCTAGCAATATTCACCTTTGGACCGAAGTATCTTTTGCCATCAGAATCTATTTCTTCTCCTGGCTTTGGACATAAATACTGAAAATCGTACTCTATCTGAGAAAAGAGAAATACAATATTCAAGTTTTTTGCCGCTATTACGCAGCAAAAACAACAAGGTTGCCATACCGCATAGTTCTTGTCTGTTTCTATACTAGTTGATTCAGTTATGCACTTGTCCATCACGACCTGAAGTAAAACAGTAACAATGCTTGATTTATATCCAAAAACCTTTCAACCTTAGACAGACAAATTTTCTGTAACACCAAAATGAAAGAGCCCAGCGACGTTTGAGCAGGTCCCAACTTCCTCAGAAAATCTGATCCAAACACGGTCAAATTTCGAATTCGTAGTACGGTAAAGAAATATACAGTGCGCTGTAATGTCTAGATGATATTTATTGGTGGTATATGACTTGTTACCTTTGCAAGACTTGGAAACTTTTCAATCAATCGTTTCATAGGCGACACTTGATTGAATTTCAGATTTCCCATGACGTCACGCCATCTAAATATAGACATATCATCATCAATTGGTTGTCATCATCATCATCTTTCATGTCAATATCATCTTCTTCGTATAATACTACAATTATCATGATATCAGGTCATATCAACATATCTTACATACTCATTCGCTATAGTTATCGATATAACATCGTTTTTATTGTCTGAATCACCACCATCATCATCATCATTGTCATCACTATCACTCACCGTTCATGCCTAACAATCTCTGTACAGATATTTAGCTGGTCTTGAGCCAGGGCGGCGTCCAGTACGTTAAATCCCGTGCCACATACGATTGATATATCCGCGCCGCACTCCAATAATGTCTTAAAAGCATCGATTTTCCCTTCGAAAGCAGCCACAATAAGTGGAGTTTTCTGTTGAAAGGCAATTTTACATCGAAAACTGGTGTATAACGCAATTGATAACAGCCATTTAATAAAATCGTTTGAGAGTAAAGCCGATAGTCACTCTTCTTAATGAACCGATGAGCCTCTATAGACACATGTATGTATTTTCTACCGCACACAATCATTTTCGTATTGTCTGTGCCATTTTTACCATATAAAAAACTGACTGCTAAAATGTTAATACCCTGGATTTTTCGACAGCATCAATATCTGCTCCATAGTCCACCAAAACCCTGATGGTTCGAGGACAACCGTGTATCACAGCGTGAAACAACGGCGTCAGACGCAAATCATCTCTTAAAAGGGAATAAAATAAACAAGCGTTAAAATAAAATTATTTTCTAAAAGAGAAGGATAGTATGTTTAGAGGGTAAACACTAATAACATATTTGAAGAAAAAACAAAAAATATTCAGTCTAAATACTCTGAAAATATTGCATATGAATGAATGAAAAATGTGAGAAAAACATATATGAACGAACAAATACATAAAAATGAATAAGTAGTCGATCGTACCTGTAATCAACTTCTGCTTTGTTCTCCAGTAAAAGTCTACAGACTTCTGCTTGTCCATTGGCCGCCGCAACGTGAAGAGGAGTTTGTGAGAGGGTATCAGCGCAGTTGAGACTTTCTGGAGAGACTTCAAGTAAAGAACGAGTGCTAACCACAATGCCAGCTCTAATGGGTGAAGCATACTTGTATTAGCTTACTAGACCGTTTTAGGTAATTTTACCTCAGTGAATTAGGGAACCGAAGAGATGAATATATACGACAGGCATAAATGTAGATAACGAGGAAACGTTACCTTGCCGCGTAATGTAAAGGTATGCGTTCATCATTATCACATGAAATCACAAGGCCACCTGCATCAGTCAAGAGCTGAATGATCTAAAACATACGTTATTGAATCAATAGTTGTCCTTGTCTACCTCCTCTGATATTTGATCATTGTGATCACACAGTAAGCACCATCTATCTACTCTACCCTTAATCACCTGAACATCTATAGCTATTTCCCAAGAAGGTGTTCTTACACCTCCCCCCTCAAGTCTTTATACCCCCCTCCCCCTCATGTCTTTATACCCCTTCCCCCATCAAGTCTTTATACTCCCCTACCCCTATCAAGTCTTTACCTTGCCAACGTGGGAGCATCGTAAAGCCGCGTAATGCAGCGGTGTTTTACCATAAGCATCTCGTTTTCCTACAAGATGCTTTGTATCTTTCTAAAAATGTCAAAGTAAAAAGCAGAGATAGAACTGATTACATATTACACTATATTACAAGCAAATGTATCATACGTGGAAGCTTATTGTAGATATTTTTGATTTTTGAAATGATACCTCCAGTAGAATACGGAGTGTTTTGGGGTCAGAGCAGGCAGCAGCGATATGAAGGCAGTTCCGCCATTGTGTATCAATCTGATCAACCTGCGCTCCTTTGGACAGCAAAAACCTGAAGAAAGCATTTCACAGTCTCTAGCTTATTGCCATAAATTTATCAGCAATATCGTTTTGTATCTAACTTATTTAAGATTGTGATTAATTCACAAAGATTGTGATTAATTCACAATTTGTGTTTTACAAGTGCATGGGTCTTCATCTATTGAGAAAATTGACTAATTCTTACTTCATCGTCTTGTGCTGATCTCTTTTAACTGCACACATCAAAGGCGACGGGAACCCTGTGTTGGGTGGTGCGTTCACGTGGGCGCCCTTATCACGAGAGAACGTAATAATCATTAGCATTGCGCATGATCAGACAGCATATGTGTGAACGCACTTTGTTACCTGATCAAGCAAGTACTCAATGACATCCCGGTTGCCTTCTAGTGACGCTCTATCAAAAGATGTACAGAAAACTGTTTATATTCCTTCAGGACTCACAGGGATCCCAAAACGAAAACACGGATGTACTCACAGAAAAGCAGAAAATCACACGAACAAAGTTGCATTCCTGCCAGGGGTTCTATTTGCATAGTTTGAATTGTTTAGACTAAATGTTAGTACCTTAGAACTGGAGTCATCCCGTCGCCATCTTCTGCATGAAGATCCAAATCTTTTCCTTCAAATAGTGCTCTCAAGACACACAGGTTCCCGGATACAGCGGCAAAATGCAGAGGCGTTTGAAGAGAAGATGACTAGAACAAGAAGATTTAACGTTGAGTAGTGTCCCATCACGGAATAAACTGAGATCGTAAGAACACTGACTCACCTCCCAAACACACAGTGATGCTCCAAAATTAAGGCAGATTTGTGTAGTCTTGAAAAGAAATGATACATAGATATGATTGATAAAAATATATATTTGTAGTTTTTTTTTGCGTGCATGTATGATTCTAGCTAGCATTGTTAATTCTTGGTCTTCACATGACGTTACAGCGGCCATAGTGTTGTACAAGAAACCATTTGTGTTACGTGTACTCTAACCTGCTGTGGCTTCTGTATCAGTTCCGTTTTCTATTTCTCAAGAGATTTTTGCAAAATAAGAATAATTCAGTCATCATTCGTCCCGACAGTCAGTCATGCTGTATGTCTGTCTGTCAAACAAGACGTCAGCTAATCTGTCAGTCTGTCAGCCTGTCAATCATACATACCGAACATCGACCGTGCTTGACAGCGAGATGTAAACACGTGTTGCCATAGTTATCTGGCATATCCAGCAGCATTGTTGTGTCCATCTTGTGATCTCGAGCTTTAAATTCATAGCCAATAAACATTATGCAATTGCTAGTGTATAGAAACAGCCTGTCTACGTTCAGTACCTGTTTGGAGAAGAGTTCGCATAGAAACAGCCTGTCTACGTTCAGTACCTGTTTGGAGAAGAGTTCGCAGAACATCATTCTTTCCTTCTCTTGCGGCGACGTGAAAAGCCGTGAAACCATCGTTATCTTGAGCCTTGATTTCAATGCCATGAAACAACTGGAGACAGAAGAACTCAGTGAATTAAATAAAGGAATAAAAACGAAAAAATGAAGAAACAAATCAAGACAAAATCAAGATAAAAATAAGCAAAAACAACGATTGATTGATGGAGGGAATGGCGAATGGATGTGGAAATAAATAAATAAAAAAAATAGGAATTAGAAAGACAAAGTGATTGAATAATCAACGAGGGACTACTTTTTAGTGTTTTCAAAATCATCACCTTCAAACCCATGAACTCACCAACAATTTGGTAGACATTTCATCTCCAACATGTGCAGCAATGTGTAGAGCTGTTGTCTTGTCGATGTCAACAACATTGACGTCCATTTTGCCTTCGGTCAGAAGAAGCTTAAACAAGGGTAACAAGTTCACGATTAGTCTCAGCTTGTTATCTAATTGTTAGTTGGTGATTTGGATGGTTAAAGCCTTATCATCATTTATCGGGACTACAGAGTCGATTAAAATGATAAAAATAGGTGACGGAAAGCAACAGGAATAACTGCAATGGAAACGAGGATTCAGCCAAACAGTTCCAAAATGCAGCACAAAATTTGTTCTTTGCTTAATTTACTCGAATGTTGTGAATTTTACAGCAAATTTAACTTAATTCTTAGAAATTTTAAAATTTGTAATTTATTTATTTTTTATTTCATGTTTCGTTCTTTTGGAATTTTGTAATATTTTTAGATAGTTTTGATTGTACATATCTTATTAGAGGCGATTTCGTATAAGAAATGTACAATCAAAACTATCTATCTTCATAGTATCTTATTATTATTCATAATGGTGATGCTGACCAGAGGGTCACAAAAGGAAGGACAACCAAGTTCCTATATATAGAGATACTCACCTCAACAATTTTAATGTTTTGTCTGCGTACTGCATGATGCAGGGCAGTTTGTCCGTAACAATTCTTAGCACTAACGCTTGCACCCTCCCGAATCAGTACTTTGGATGATTCGATAGCATTGAACTTTGCAGCACAAAGCAGGGGGGTCATTGCGTGAATCTTTGACGATCCTTTAACGTCAATATCTGGAAAGAAACGTGTCGTGGATGCATGTTGGATGAAACTTCCTTAATTTTTTACACTTCATTGTGTTTGNGGGAGAAGGGGGGAGGGCTCTTGGTCATTTATTTGCACAACAATGTCATCATCGACAACAACAACGAAATGAGAGAAAATGTAGTTAGAAATCAAATATATTATTACAATATAATATATTATTGACAATTTATCGATTATTAATACCTGCGCCAGCTCGGAGCAGCATTTTAAGAATCTCGACGCGATTGCATCTTGCTGCGTAATGAAGTGCAGCCATACCATCTTCGTCAATGTTATTGATTGTGTTCATTTTGCCTCTCAATAACCTTCCCACAATATCCTCCCGTCCATCCCGGCATGCCTAGCAATACAAAATAATGACGTAATATTATGACGGAAAAGTATGACGTAATATTATGACGTAAGCATAGCGGAAAAGCTATCTATTTCTGTTCATCCCATCTTGCTTGAAAAGAATGACGTATCTTAGGAGCAGGTGTTGTGTCACCAAAAAAATAAAATGGTTTTTAATAATCAGGTTGCCCAAAGCGTGTTATAATGGATTTTTTTAAATGACAAGGCAATAAAAAAACTGATTTATAGCATCCTTTTGAAGTTGCTGCTCAATTCTATTTTGTTCTTTCTTGATCTTATCAGAATGAAAGGAGCGAAAGAAGAGACTTCAGGAAACTCGGATGGAAGTTGTGACAGTCATTATCTTTTACAGCCATTTATCAACGAATAACTATTAAGATGGGGAAGCGGTTTTGACTCCAAAGCCATATTCAACGCCCAATTTGTTTATTTTTACAATGTTTTTGTCGTGATCTCAAATGGACGTTCTCACTAGTGGAGCGAACAAGCGCAAATATCATGTGACAAGGATTGTTGTCAAAGGTACACTTAATATTTGTATTGCCAAAAGCAAAGTTAAATTACTGTGAAGACTATTAAAGTCTTTCAATGATTTCTTTCTAACCTTATGAAGCTGCATAACAGAGCTAATATTGATCAGCCTAGTGACAGTATGACTATCTCAGCAGTTTCTGGTTTATTAGGTGTTGTGACGTAGTAAGAAAGGTTTTCGGATCAATTATAATTAAAACCAAATTCAAACGCAAATAATATCGGAAATAGTTGGAGTAAACGAAGCCACTGGCAGTTATGTAATAAACCCTAAAAAGTCAATTTAATGATGGACAATACTTATTCATATCTTGTCACGACTTCACGACGCTCGTTTTATTTAATAAAAATATTTTGTTTTCTTGCTGCATATCCATATTGTTCATCATAAAAGTAAAGCATTGGCGATAAAACTATCACTAACGATCACAAATGTATGTGTTTTAGTGACTAACTTGTGATTTTACTACTAAAAGAATCAGTAGAAATGGCATAAAGAGGGGGAGTCGGTAGTTATTGGTGAAAACTTAGTTTGGCTGTAGCTGCTATTGTAATGAAGTATACCATGCGTTGAATGCTGGACGTGTTGCCTGTAACAACAACCACATCTTTTTCACAGCTTTTCTAGACCTTTCTTTTCTAGATAGTCCTATTTGTGTCATAAAGGTGAAACTTCATTCTTACCATTGCTAGGACTACATTATAACGTTCTTCATAAAACTATTGTTAATTGCTTTCTTATCCTTCATTATCTTTAATTTTATGACAATTATTCCAATCAACGAAGGATCTAGAACGTCGTGCGCGCGATAACACGAGATATTCCTATTTGAACTCAGCAAGCAAGAAAGAAATAGACAGCAAAAAAAGAGGACGCGAAGAGCATTCAATTACAAGAAGATGAAAATATACAACAGCTCATTATTTTTAATCGAATTTTTGTGTATGTATTCTTTCCATAGCAAGATGAATAAATAATGCACTGAGAACGAAAGTCAATCTCATAGAGGTTTGTGGATCAAAGGTGTAGTCATGCCTTATTTCTTGTAAAATACAATAATATCAATTTATCATATATTTGATTAATCATACCTGACCCAAACCGACGCGTCGACATAGATTTTTCTCCACTGATTCAGTAATTTTTTGTTGGATTTCACATTTGCTATTAACCTTGTTATTACACTTCATCTTAATTAACGGAGCCCTGAGACTCTTGATGCTTGATATCGATGATACACTCCCTACATCGCTGCTGAGGCCCAAATTTGACATCATAAACCCTTCATTTTCGGACATTATTCAGCCTTAGGGACCTTGAAACCTGTAAGTTTTGTTTTCACCAAAAATCAGATATAAACGCTGTTCATTTCTAGCCAAAGTTAAAATGAATTGATCAAATTATCATAAGGAACGTTTTCTGCTGCGACGGAGAGTGGACAGTGCTCGATGTACTGTCGCAGGACTTTGCAATTACCGATGATAAGTCAAAATTTCCTGTTGATTTTCTCAAGCCATGCACGAAGCTGATTGGTTGATTCTAACGGTCCATACAACCTTCGTCGTGATATAAAGCCAGACAACTGTCTTGATTCTCATGACGCTCTGAATGCAAAAAGACATAATAAACTTTTATTGGAGTGTTTTTAGAGCAGTATTTAAGTGCAGCCAGCAATGGTGGCCAAACTAAAGAGTCGTTTTTATGAAATGCTGTACTTTGACAAGCAAATACAATGTCAAGTGTAATATTTTGGAGAAAGCGATCAGTGTTGAGTGTTGTACGGTTTCATTATGTTGTACGCTGAATCTCAAGGGCTTCGCACCTGCTGGTGCTCTCAAAAACTTGCAATATATAAATAATTGATAGCTAGATATAACTATATTTTATGTAATTCACTGTTCGTGCTAGTATATAATTTTTTATGTTTGACTTTTTTGCATTTTCAAACTTCATTAAGGCAATAAAAGAAATACACTGGAAAAAATCGTTCACTTTAAAAGGTTGTAAATTTGATGTAAATATTATGTAAGTGTCCAAAATGATGTAAATTTGATGTAAATTTGATGCTTAAATTTGATGTAAATTTACATCAAATTTACATCATTTTGGACACTTACATAATATTTACATCAAATTTACAACCTTTAAAGCTCGCGATTTTTTCCAGTGATATATGTAAAAACTTTGTCGACTGAAATCTTTAAACTTGGAAAACTGAACAAAAACTGAACGTTCCATAAAAAAACGCTAATGAATCAATAATACGATGACGAAGCAGTTTCGTTCAGAAGTAACAGCTTTGAGACCGAATGGCATTTTAAAACAAAACCCAACGAAAATAAGTGATATCCCTAAAGATATGCAGTATAGTGATTGTTTTTGTAAATAACCTTTTAATCATTAACATGGTAAAGGCAAGTCGTTAAATATCATTATCATAATCCTGTTATTGAGCACATAGCGGTCCATAGCAATTTAAATAAAAAGAGCATTTGTTGATGCGGTTTTCATCGTCTGTTAAAATTAAACCTCTCAGCCAATTTCCTGACTTCCCCTTTTTTTCTGATATCTACTGATTAAAGACCAAAACAAAAACAAAATCTGGTGGTTTTTATTTATATTCATGTGCTGATACTGAAAGTTTTCATTGCGAAAATTTGACAGAAGACGAGCAATCATTTACTCGCTGGTTTCATTAATCGTATTAATTCTTCCTTCTTATAATCAAGCTTGAAAAAATTAAACTCAAGTTTTGATTAATCAGCTCTTAAGTTGCGTCTTCAAAAAGTTTCAAGATTTCTTCTCGAGACTGCGGAGTTCGAGTTACTTCAACGTAAGAAAATTAAAGCACAACTTGACTGCAAAAACCAGAGGAACTTGCCATCAAGAATAAAAAATGCGGCAAATAAAATGAAGGTTATCTAAGCAATATTTCAGTTTATTCAAAACCAGGAAATGTAAACAAATTGCAGTATGATAGTTTAGCCAAAATGTGCTGTAGTTGTTTCGATTTTCTTTCTTTTTTATGGTTATATTACCCGTGATGGGTTTAGGCCAGATAAACACACTTATGCGTTTCTCAAGTGTTATTTTATTGAATGCACTTGACTGAATTCGGGTTGGAAACATGTACAAAAAGGCAAATTCTGGGTAGAATCTAGACTAAAAGGACATCAGAATCAAATGCAAACAAGTAAAAACGTGGAACTTCACGTGGATGAAGCACAAAGTGTGAAACGTGACCGATTATATCCTTTCTTTTGTTGCAATCTGGAATAAAAGGACTTCCACTACAGGCCGGAAAACCACCCCTCACACATCCTGTATCCCGGCCACGAAACAGAGGAGTATAGGCCTGGGAGTTTAGAAATTTCTAAAACAGTATGAAAGCACAGATGGAACTTTGTCTCATTTTAAAGGAAAGTATAGGTAGAACTGGTATACACCTAATTACGAAAACGTTGTCCTGAGATTTAAGGATTTAGGAAATTAAGAATACATTAAAAGACAAAGCATGACCACTGAAGCCGAACACTTTCTTTAGTAGTAAAAGTTCTTTTTTCTTGGACAACGTTTGTGTAATTAGGTGTATGTTTCAGAAAACAAACGGTAGGTTATCATGCACAAAAAGGGCGGAAAGGGACCAATCACCTTAAGTAGTAAACTTCCGTGATGATGAGCACACATTTCGTCATTTTACTGCACTTTCTTGAAGAAATTTCTCCATAAGGTTGAAATAAGAAATAACTTCAAAGTTCATCGCTTAAAAGAGCTAATTAAAAAGGATAATAAACGAAAGTTTGACAGATATTTAACGTTCAAAGATGGTGGGTAATATAAATCTCTCCGAGTTTTTATACAAACCATATGGCGCGGAACCATAATGGTAGCTCAACGTTTATTGTGCTACGTCGTTTCAATATTTAGTGCAGATTTTATGTCAGTTAGCTAAAAAAACATGAAATTCTTATGCTAATTAACCAAATTGAACAAAATATTTGCCGCTAAGATTGAATAGGATGTTACTCGGATATCGGTTATGATATTTAAGTTAACACCCCAAGAAAAATTTCCAAAGAGCATCTTGATTGCAGAAACTCGCAAAGAAATTCAATCCCATATCTGATGATATTTATTCTTTTTTTTTGTTGGACTACAAACTCATGAACGCTTTTATTTTTAATTTGTTAACTAAGAACAGTTTTAATTCAAGTCATCAACGCAAAAATAAACTCAAAAGCTCAGATGCGGAATGAAAGTATTATCTTGCTGCCATAAAGTGTGAATTCCAAGTGTATTTTCATTGATAATCATTACAATTCATCTTCTATTTTTTGTAAAGAGTTACTATAATAGTCTTCATTTTTCTCTCAAATTCTTACCTTTTTCAGCAATAAACAGCATCCGAGAAGAGGTTCAATTATGAAAATTGAGCTTCAATGAATTCATGGGCATATGGCTTTGAATTCTTTTTCGAAAGCCCGGATACACGCACGCGTCAAGTTAATTTCGCGCCAAAATGACTAAATATAGAAAGAGTTACAATGCATGCAACCAGGAAAATATTATATTTGAATTCGACAAAAATTTCATAAAAAGAGTAAATTTGTTCACACGGTATTGAATAATATAACCCTTGTGTAGAGTACTGCACACGAAACATTTCAGTGTAATCTCTTGAGTATAACAGTCCTTTTAAATGTTTCTTTATTAATCAACTGTTAAAATTCCATTTCAAGGACAATCTGTGTTCATTTTCCTGCCATCTTGTTAAGTGCACTTCCTGATTTAAACCATTGGATCTGTTGGTCATTCATTGTATGATTTAACGAGACCTTTGTCACTGAACCATTCTTGCTTTTGATATGACACTCAACGGGCTAAAAAACAAAACAAAAACAAAAAAACAGGAAAACTTCAGTTTATTTATTGTATTTAGAGGATTTTCAATATCCACCCCTCTTCCCATTTGCTTTACTGACACATGAGTATTTTCTATATCAAAGCATAATAATATAACATGTTGCAGGTTCATTTTTATTATACAAAATAGGAAAGAGCAGGCGCCGCGAGCAACCGTTCCCCACTCACCCTAATTTAACCATCAGTCAATTAAAATTTCATCAATGTTAAAACCCCCGCATTTCCCGTCCCTTAGAGCACAAAAACGGCTGCTAAACTGATCGTTTCCTTTACTTTAGACGTTAATTCCCACGCCTGCCCGTTAATCCACCCGCTATAATGCGTGGACTTCCCCGTCCCTCCAGCGAGTTGTGGAACAAAGGTCTTTAATTGACTGATGCATCAAAATAATCCGCGTTCCTTGAAGAAGACGTACCTTTCCTGGTGCCAATTCTTTAAGTCCAACCAAAGAAATCTTGTCATCAGGTTGAATTTTGTCATAGTCAACAGGATTGGAGAATGTCAATGGCAGCATTCCTGATGGAGGCAAATATGGTAAACAAACTCGAATAACAAGGAATATTTAGCACCATTATTTTGTCAAGTCATAACAGGATAACTTACCTTGCTTTTTTAAGTTGGTCTCTGAAAAAAAAACCGTAGTTAAAAATTAATTACATTTACTATTTTGATGAAGTGATGTGAATTAAGTCATTCAGATGTGAGTAAATCAAATCATTCAACAAGTTTGTAAATTAGCAAGCCAGTCACCAAGTCAATTGGTCATTTAATCATTCAATCATTCTGTGAGCCTGTCAATCATTTTGTCAAGCTGTCAGTCACCTTACCATGGATTCGTGCAAAGCTCTTGACGATGATGGCACGTCCTCCAAGGTGTCTTGGTTCAAGAGCTGCATGTTCTCTGCTGCTACCTTCACCGTAGTTCTCATCCCCAACAACACACCATTTCACTCCACTAGCCTGAACGAAATAACACAGCAATAGAGAATGAAAAAAAGGTTAACAAGAGCAGAAATGAGTGGCTAAAAACTTAAAATAACCTCCATAATATGCTAACTTTAAGGTTAAAAACAAAAAATTATAAGGGAGTACTGAACTGGAAGAGTATTGTACCTTATAATGTCTCGCAGTGTCAGGAACGCCTCCATATTCACCAGTTAACTGATTCTTGACATTGTTTGCTGTGTCGTTCTCAATATTTATTGCTCTGGTAATCAGATTATAAAGAATATTTTATGATACATTTCAGTCAAATACCGAAGAGAGACATGATACTTATAACTAGGGAATTCCTCTAAAAAGTGTTATATTTGTTTTTTATTTTTATTCTACCAGAGTCTTATTATTATATTATAAAGTAAATAAATAAATATAGACCTTTTCTGAAATACAAAATCATGGTGCATTGTGATCAAGCTTCAGTTCAAACAATGCCATATTTTGCCTCATGAACAAAAGATGTTTTACAGAATTAAGAATGCAAAGAAAAGGCCTATGCTCTACAAGTGCACTGAGTACTCTTTACATGCTCTGGACCATGTTACCCTAATGTATATACCTTAGTAATATGTTATACAAACATTAAAACTCACCCAATAAACATATTGTTTGAAATGTTGTCCAAGTGTCCTCTGTACTTAAGCCAGGGTCCAGCAGCACTGTAAAATAACAAAAGCTCCCTTTATACTGTTTCAGTTGCATGTATTAACAATGGACAGTTTCTTAACTACTGTACCTGATGTGATCTGTCGTACATTTTCCTTTGATCTGATAATTAAATAACGGTTTTTAGCTTTTATGGGCTTCCTGTTTTTAACATACAGAGGTAGACTGGAGGAGAACCCATACTGACAGGGTCCAGTTAGAGAGATATTTTCACCAAAAATTTTCTATATCAAGGAATGTTGCATACAAATTAAAAAAATATGGAACTCACTTTAATGAGGACAGTCATGTCTTCAAGGTCGTTACCATCCCACACGTCAAATGGAGTGAGCAGCTGAAGTCGGTTACTGGTTGAAAACACAAGCACAGTGACTATCAGTAAAGAGTAGCATTGTTGTTTATGTTATGCTTAATTTCCTGCTACAATGATTCAGTAATTGATGAAATTGAGTCAGTGCCTTATTCATGCAAAATCCAGTCTGAGTGTACCAACTATACAGGATATTTACCTAGTTGGGCTGACATTAACTTTCAATGATGCAGCATCATCAGGAGGGCCCTAAGAAACATTAAAACACAATATTAAATTATAAGATGATAAAATAACATATTGACTAATGTCAACATAAAACATAAGATTTACCTGATAAGTGTCCTCACCAGGGTCAAATCCCTTCAATAAAATACATGATTTTGAATAAGAAAAAAAGACACACATTTAGAAAATGGCCCACAATTAATATATATTTTGAATTAGCTATATGTATAAATGATCAGTTTTGGTTGTTTGGTTGTTTGTCTCTGTTCATCATCAATTGCGTAAAAATAAAAAAAAACAATCATCAAAATTCACAGCAACTGTCCGTATATACTGCCCATTAAATCTCCCTTCCAAGCTATTATGGCTGCATACATATATTATATCTATCCAAAATGGCATTTAAATACCTTTGATGGCAATTCATCACCATATGGGCTATCAAGTTTGAAAGCTTTTCCTGCAGAATGACATTACAAAACATGACTGATTATTACAATCAATGAAATCAATATTTTATTGAATTAAGTCTGTTTGTTTGTAAAGAAAGGCCAATCTGCTCACCATCACTTCCAGTTATGGTATCTGTTTCAGGGTTAAAATCAAGTCTTCCTCCAATAGATAAGGCAGTGACAATCTGCAACAGAAAGCAAAGTCCATAATTGATGTTAAAACTAATAGTACATGGAATATTGTCAATTTTACATTCATATCTTTGTAAAGAATACACATGCATATCTTATTTACTTTAAAAGTCTATGATTTCCTTTTCATACCAAGGCTTCTCTGCTTCTCTCTCTTCAAAATGGCAGACAAAGAAAGCCCTGGCATTGGTCAATCACATGTCGACAACAAGCTAAGCTGAGTGTTTTATGGAATACTACTAAAGAATAATTCAGTTACTAGCCAATCAAAATCCAAATTTGACCAGCAAATGCCAGAACCCTTTCTCCTCTCAGAAAAATGCAGTGAGAATGAGGTTGCTTTTCTCATTCTCGATGGAGTGTATGAAAGCCAAATGCAATAGTGCTTGTAAAGATACTACCAAGGATCTGGACTAACCTCTGGCGAGGCAACAAATGCATGGGTTTCAGGGTTAGCATCATTTCTACCAGTAAAGTTTCTATTGTAGGAAGTTACAATTGTATTTTTCTCTCCTTTCTTGATGTCTTGCCTTAAAATAAAAAGAAAGACTTGTTAACCTTTAAATCAGGTATTTTATTTCAATGTACAAAGTGTATACCTGTTCCATTGACCAATACATGGCCCACATGCATTTGCAAGAACAGTGCCACCAAACTCCCTTAAAGTACTAGCCTAAAAATAAGCAAAATAGACATCTAGATACAAAAAAACAAATCAAAATGTACAATGTAAAGTTATTTCTTACGATGCCATCCCGCTCGATTGTTGCTCTTATCTGTTCTGATCCAGGAGTTACAGTGAAAAGGGATCTACCAAACAAGTCAAAGTTTCCAATAGTATTTCAAACAAGAAGATAAAGATGAAATAAGGTCCACTTACTTGGCTTTGACTCCATTGCTTAATGCTTGTTGGGCAATACTTGCTGCTCTTGTCATGTCTTCATAGCTACTGTTTGTACAACTTCCAATCAATCCTAATATTTCAAAAACAAAGTGTTTCATTAGGTTTTCTAAAAAAACATTTGAAATAATGAGGCCATTTTATACATTTATCATAATATGTCATTAGGATGAAACATGAAATTATTAGAATAATATGTTTTTTGAAATTGCTTCAAAGATTCATTAATGGTTATAATGGAGAAGTTCATAAGAAGAGTTATAATTAAAATTATAAATAAAAAACTTGTTTAAAATTATAAATAATTTTAAACAAGTTCAGTCTCATCCAAATCCCTTTGTAGTGTTGATTCAAGATCCTTCATTATGTTCTACCATCCTTTATTTCATTCGCATTTCTAATTCTCTTACCCACTCTAACATCCATCGGCCAGTTATTATCCTTGGCTGCTTGTCCAAGTTTCGACACTGGGTGAGCAAGATCAGGGGTGAAAGGTCCATTAACATGGGGTTCAAGCTCGTCTAAATTAATCTCAATGACTTCATCATAATCAGCACCATCATCTGCCTTGAGTATGTGGCTGTACTGATTAGCTAAGCTAGCAATCTGATCTCTTCCTGTTGATTTGAGATATGCTTCCATTCTGTGGTTGTATGGAAATACTGATGTAGTAGCACCAATCTCTGCACCCATGTTACAGATAGTACCCATACCTATAAGGTATATTATTAATATCTGTTGACTTCATTACTTCTCTTTTATTATTGCTTATATAACAATTACCAAAAAAACAACATGAAACTGAATGAAACTGTCCTTAATTTCGCTCTTGCAAAAAGTTAAAAGCTATATTGCAATGATTGTTAGTATCATGACTCATGGCCATTCATCTATTATCAGAATGCGCAACAAACATTATTGGCAGTCATTGTTACCTGTACAAGAAATAGAATCCACACCAGGTCCAAAGTACTCAACAATAGCACCAGTACCACCTTTGACTGTCAATATTCCAGCAACTTTCAGAATCACATCTAATCACAACAGAAGTTTTCATTAAAGGACAGAACATGATACATTGTGTTGACGTAAAGTTACAAGATTCAGTGGTATTGCCCCTTTTAAATCGCTTCAAAAAAGTACAATAAGTACACATTGTTACCTTTAGGAGATGTCCAGCCCCTGAGTTGACCAGTAAGTTTGACACCAATTACCTGGACATTTCACAAAATATCATTAAATAGCACTCTATATTACATCACAGTAAGTTGTGTCATGAAGGACCTTTTGAACGTTGGATCATATATTGGTATTAATATTACATACCTTTGGACACTTGAGCTCCCATGGTAAATCAGCCATTACATCAACAGCATCAGCTCCACCAACACCTATGCAAACACCACCCAGACCACCTAAAGGTAAAGAACAGGTATAAAGGTAATTCATAGCTTTCAATGATATAGTATTTCTATTCAATTGATTACTAAATTTAGCAAAAAATATCTCTTAGCTTTGCTTAGGCTGAGGAAATTTGTTAAAAATTGTTAAGATACTGAAAATAAACATTACAATATTTTAAACATAACATCTGGTTACCTCCGTTAGGTGTGTGGCTGTCAGTACCAATCAACAATACACCAGGAAATGCATAGTTCTCCAGTACAATCTGATGGATAATTCCACTGCCTGGCTTCCAGAAACCAACACCATACTTAGCAGATGCACTAGCAAGGAAGTCATACACCTCCTTGTTAGTATCTTTGGCAATGGCCAGATCTTCCTCACCACCAACTTTGGCCTCAATAAGATGGTCACAATGAACAGTTGATGGAACAGCAACCTGAAGAATAACATACACAAATATATTAATAATTATTGAATAATGTATTGATTTACATTAAGTTGAGCTTACACAAAGATTACAAATCTTATTACAGGGTCTATGCAGAGTATCTAAAATGAAATTTAAGGACTTTTCAAGGACCAAAATTGTATTTTCAAGGAGTATCAAAATCATGCTAATTATACATTTTTAGCTCAAAACTTCAGCCGAACGGAATAATTCAGAGATTGCTAGCGCCTCGTGATAGAGATCCATCTTTTTCAAGGGGTTTTCAAGGACTTTTTTGAAATTTTCAAATTTTCAAGGAGTTTCAAGTGGCTGCCCTTGAAAATGAGTTTTCAATTCGAGCGCTTTTCAAGAATTTAAGGACCCTGTTATTAAAACATACCTTTGGCAGTCCACTAGAGATGAATTGTAGCATAGCCATCTAGAGGAAAAACAATCACTGCTGTTATACCTTGTTTGCAATAATGAACAACATGTAGTTATCTTTACCTGAGCTGTAGCATCTTGCATAGCAACTCTATCAGGTCTTAGATTGAGATACGATTCACCACGCACAATTTCCTGGAAATGCACTGTGTATTTACTACTGTTCAACAGTTATTATGACGAACAAGAAACATTAGTATACCTGTTCTTTGGGGTTATCAAGATGTGAATATACAATCTTTTCTGACAGCGTCAAGGGTCTGTTTAATCTGTTTGGATTGAAGTAGAGGACAAGAGATAAATGTCAACAAATTCTACAACAAAGAAAATGGCAATGGAGAGTGGTGAAGTTAGAAGATGGAAGAGGATGTCTAGCATATAATATTGTACATAATTTATACAGTACTTCCAACAAACCTGTCTTTTACAATCTTGAGATTTCCCTCCAGTTTTTCATATGGGATGTATTGATTGGTCTCAAACTTGCTCATTGATACCTAAATATAACACACACAGTAATTTAACATGTGAAATTCCAACAAAAGTATTAATTTAGTGCAAATTTATGCAATATATCTAGCATCTCATATTGTAAAGAGGCAATAATATCACAAGTCAAGTGTGAGATACCTTTTGCCATAGTGATGATGATGCTGAAAGATGGCGGACTTGAAAAGCTGTCTTGAGAGAGGTAGCAACCTGAAATGAAAGATCAAATGAACAAATTAAAGAGGATTCCTTTGCTATAAGTATAGCCTCAATTTGTAAAACATCTATCATCAACAAAAATAGCTAATCCATTTCTTCATTCCATAAATTCATAAGACCATGTTAACCAATTTAATCTTAGTTAATTGAGCTCTACACCACATGAGTAATAAACGTAAGGTTACTAATTTGTACTTCATAATAGAAACATTAAATTTTTACAGCATTTCAATGTCCCGGCTTGTGACATTTTATTGAAAACATCGTTTGGAGCTTGTATGACAACATTAAAACTGTACATTAACAAGACAGCAATGATGTGATTATAAAAACACAACAGAGAGCTAAATATCACAGATTTACGAAGACAAGAATGAAAATCACGTTGGTCAACGGAAACCCTGACGCGAACTGACTTCGGGTTTTCTACAAACACTACAAAATCCAAAGCAATTTGAAACACTCATGAATCTTAATATTTAGATACCTCTCTGGAGAGTAACCTCTGCATTTTTGGTTTAATTTCTCTGAGAAAATTGACTGGCAATTTCCTAAAGGAGAAAAACTAAACACTGTAGCTCCTTCTCGACCGGTATCGCGCAATGCATGATCAAAGTTCAAACAAACCGCTGTCCATGAACACAGGAATCCCAAGAAGAATCAGTCAAGATAAAACACTCACGCCGTATTCAGTAGGTTTTAAAATTGTTTAAAGTTTTTCTCTCTTTTTTCTTTGTTATTTAAAAGAGAAATTTTGTTCCCACGCTTCTAAAGTAAATCCTTGAGATATCAAAGAAATAGAAAAATGCACGGGGAAAACTCCGCAATATAAGTAGTATACAGTTGTATTTCAATCGCAAAATGATTGTCAATGAAATTTTTCGTTTTTAATGTTTACATCGTCAAGTATTTACATTTATTTCTGCATTATTAAAATTGATTGAGATTGTATTTCATTGTAGGATCAAGTTCTTGCAATGACCAGGAAGAGAATCCTTGTCCAGAGTGTTCAGGTAAACACACCATAGTACAAACGGAATCATTGCTATAACTGCAAATATCGACCAAGTGTAAGTGCAGTTGAATGGTCCAAATTCAGCACACCTGAAAAAATAACAATGTGAAGTTGAATATGTATTCAGTGCGATATTTGAACTTCTAGTATGTCATACCTTTTTATTGTCAGTAACTGACAAACAGCAAGCCAAGTAATAACAACTGTAAGACCACACAATTCCCTTGGACAAAAGGATCTTCGTGAATATTTCATAAGAAATAGAAAATACAGTGGACCAAGGGGAGATAATTGGGGGCTTTACAGCTGGGTCATTGCTGTTAGAAGGATTGGATTACATTTTGTCAATGAAAACATGGAAGTAAGACAATTTCAGTACCACAGGAAATGCGAAACATGTCAAGATTTGGCACATTTTATCAATAGTATTAATTTCAAATTGATTAAAGAATACATCAAATCTACATCAGTTGTCTCTCTTATTATTATCAACTCTCTGGTGCAGGAACCGCGGAGCGGGATCTTGTTTGGGGGGGCTAGCGGCGAGGAGGTACTAGGGGGGTCGGAAATTTCTGAAATCTTAACTCTCGGAAATGCCATTACCAGCGTTTTGAGGCATTATCCAAGACATATTTAACGCAGTCACGGTCAGCAATATTATCAATAAAATCCCAAAGAATTCATAAGGAGGCTCTTCGCTTCTTTATTTAAGAAAATTCAAAATGTCGGAAATATTATTGGGGGGCTGTAGCCCCCCAGCCCCCCCTGCTCCGCGGTCCCTGTGGTGACAGGTATTGAGTTAATATTGTTTAATTACCTTCCTTCTTCATGAGTGAGTGGATTCATTGATTCAACTCTCATGTGTTTAGAGACAGACATGCTAAGATACATGGCTCCCACAATGCAAGCTGTCAAATGACTCACTGAAAGGGCTTTCCATAAAAAGGTTTCTGTTCAAAACACATAATAAAGATAAATAAAACGTTCACTTTCTAATAATCACATCACAAATCCTGTCAGGAGTTTGATTAAGGAATGAATGACAGAAGGATATGACTTTAAGCTGGAATCACACCGTGTAGTCTCCTTGCTACTGTTTGTAGTCAACTTGATTTATTGAGAAATGAAAGGAAGGAAATGGAAGGAATGGAAATATACTCAAAATAAAACAACTTACTGATAACAGGGGGATATATACATATTGATGTACATAAGAAACAAGGAATGCCATACACTGCCTAAAAATATGTAAAAAATATGGATGTTAAAAAAATATTAAAAAGTTGTTTGTAAAAAAATTCAAAAAAAAAAAAGAAAATATATTCATTACCATCCATATTGCAGGGTCAGGATCATTGATCTGAAGATAAAATATAATGAAAAGTGAGGTTTTGTGTTGGATGCTGGGATGGATATAAGGGATTTTCAAATGAATCTACAATCTAACAATTAGCGCACTATGATTCGCTGACGCGCGTGGCTTTTCAAGAGTACTCGAAGTGGGCACAAAATGTACCACAAAAATATAAAAGAAATCGCATTGTTGTGCTTGGGAAATGTTAAGAGCGCTTTCATACCTGTACATATGTAGCTAAGGCAAGAAAAATGGACATTATACCATTCGCTGCTCTCCATAACCAAGGAAAACAAGACGGCACTTCGTAGCTGGGCAACGAATTGATTTTATACTCGGTCATCATGCTAAAATTCAAGAAAATATCAAAATCTAAAAGCAATTTCACTTCATTGAAATAAATATATATCTCGTTGTACTAGACTTTGTATAAATTCAGGACGCTTTTAAAGCTCTTGTATTCATGTCATTTATTGTTTTCATTAGAGAGGGAGAGAGTTCCGTTTTTATTGTCTGCTAAAGAAGTGTTCTCCAGTAATGGGAACAACATCTACTTGAAAATAGTAAAATCACAAGGAAAAAAAATTGATAGTCAAATAGTGAGGCGAAGAGATAACGATTTCAGTCCATTTGATGCTGTGAATGTAATCTTATTCATGACGGATCAACCATCCTCGGGAACCCAGCGGTACTCTTCTGTCGTTCGTTCCTCACTCCCAGAAAAAATAGTGGGAGTGAGGAASGAACGACAGAAGATTACCCMWGSGTTCCCGAGGATGCGGATCAATAAGTCGACTCAATAAACTCTTCTCTTTMTCGGCCTTTACCTGATGCCAACTGGTACGACTACGRTACGATATCAGCACTCAAACATRTCCAGTAYTGCTTTCTCGGACGTAACTTGTAACTCAGKGAGTCTCTTGTCGATCTTTTGGCCTAGCAGTATTTTTGAAGATTGTATTTCAGGCTGCTGACCGGAAGTAGATCATGCTGAGAAAAGAGCAGCTGTGAAGACGGACTAAAAATGACAACCATGCGGTTTTATTTGTTCTATTCCAAATGGATTAACTTTCACAATGCTCATGTCCAATTATACTCCTTGKTGTAGAATAACAAAGATGAAGCAAAGAATACATCAGAACATGAAATACTGAATGGGAAAAGAAAAATGATGAACAGAGGGACACAGTTAAAACTGAGCGTAATTTTTCACACGGCATTTATAAAGCAAGCGCGTTCTTTCGATGTCTGATACTGACTCCCACGTTGTTTCATATAACGTGGGACGAGTGGGGTCGTAGGATGCATTTGAATATGGTAGACCAAGGGCTGCCAAATATCGAAAAAAAGTAACAAAAACTTCCACAATATTTTTACCAATGTATTTGTAAAACAAAAGAAATGTTATCTTTTATTTAAATAGTTGTAGAAAACAAATGTAGACAGTGAAGTTCCTTTTTTGATTATATTATGT